TTAATTAAAAATCGAAAAATTCTTTTGAATTTTTAGGTTCAAGTTGGATTTCAACAGCTGTTTTATATTCGGCTGATTTTTTAACATGGAAAAAATGTACATTAAGTGATGATAGATGTCGAACTCCAGCTGAGGAAAAAAATTGTGCTTTATTAGGTGGTATATGTCGACCATATATTGATCCATATTATATTTCAGTAACAATATCTACAATAGCTGGTATTATTTGGATTATATGGAAATATGGAACAATGATGCGTTTACAAGATTTACCAATAAGTTCATGGAAAGTACAAAATGATAATCAAAAAAATAAACCATTATCAACAAATGATTAATATTTTTATTAAAAAAAATTATTGTGAAGGAGAAAATACAAACAAACAATACGAGAAGAAAATCTTTGGTTTTTTTAAGGAAAAATAGAATATTATTAAATGTTCGATTAGAGGTATTTGTTGTAATCTGAAAAAGTTATATTGTCAAAAAAAAAAAATTTGAGCTTTTTTTTTGTTTTGATTCTCGCTCATTTCTTTGTTTTTTTGTTTTTGTATTTGGTCGTATTGTTTTGACTATATATATATTTTTTTGTTATATAAATAGTGACGATTAAAACAAAAAAGTTATTCTTTCATTTATATACAATTCAATTGTGATAATAACAAATGTTCGACTGATTACGAAAGTTAACAGAACATTGAATTAGAATCAGAATTTTGTGATCTTTTCGAATATATGTTCGAAAGTTTTGTAAGACGCATAGATGAGGAATTATAAGTAAATCGTTGGAAGGCTAGAAAATTAAGGTACGACAAAAACAATTGAAATAACAAATCTGATCTTAGTTCTTCAATCGATAAATCGCTTTTGAATCGAGACAGTGTACATTATTTAGATTCGAATGAGCTTTGAATATTCTGAAAAGAGTTCGGATTCTTAGTTTATTGTTGCAGAGATACTATACTTTTACAGTATTCTTTAAATGATATGAAATAAAAACGTATCTTTGTAAGTCGCTTATATATAAATTGGTAGAATTGATGTTCTTATTGATTTTGATTAAAATGCTACTGTAAAAAAATGTCGTATCTCGGTAGAAATCAGCTAACAGCCTGAACTCTGAGAGTGTTCATCATTTATTAGAATCTGCATGATACACATTGTTCCGATTCAAAAGCAATTAATCAATAGAGGAATTTTCTTCGTTAGATCTCATCGTTGTTTCAGAAGATGCACCATCAAATTCTTGATAAAAACTTAATTAGACTTATTCTATAGAAAGTTAAAGAAAGAAATCAAATAATGAATACTAAACATGTAGAAACGAGTTAATTTTGTTTTTATAGACTTCAGAATATTTTCAATAACTTCATAGACAAAGAAACAAAAATGAAAATGCTTTTGAGTACATTGAAATGTGATCGTTCTCGTTATGCAATTGAAAGTGACCTATTTTTTAATTTATGGAAATCACTTCAAACTGAAATATACAAAAAATCCGAGCTTAAAAGATGCTATTTTGACTTAATTAACCCGATGTTATAATAGATTATTGTCACGTGATGTGCGTTGTTGAATTAATCAATAGACTCTTTATTTCAAAGGAAATTTTCCTATCGATGATTTGTAAACGAAAGATCAAAGTTAACTTTCTTCGACAGTATAGTTCGAATATATTAGATTGGTATTAAAAGATAATCTCAATATCATCCTGATGTTTCTTTTTTACAAAATCTTTTCTTTTGAAACTTTAGATTGTATCTTGATTAACATATGAATGCATTGTAACTTTTCGATTCGATTGAAATTTTCGCTACATTGCACTCAATAACTTTTATTTTGATCAACCGATTTGAATAATTTTTTACACATTATTCCTTTTTGAGTGACCAACTGTCACACTATATTTCAGCTGTTTAGTTTATATCATCGCTGAGTTATGAGAAACATATTACAAAAAAAAAACGTCATTTTTTGCTGATATGTACAAAGAGAAAGGATGTTTTTCGGCTATAACAAAGAAAAAAGAATGTGAATAGTCCATTGACTGCAGTGCTCGATGCTCTATCAAAATATGTAATTGATTGAAATTTGATTCCATCTTCAGTTCTTCATTTAACATCTAGATTGTTTGCCAGACACTTGTATAGTTTGATGTAAAGTGACACAAACTCGAGTCTAGTTTTCATTATGATAGAGCTGACGGTCTGCAGATCATATGAAAACAAAGAGAATTCTTTCAGTAATAAATCGACATGAAAATGTTTTCTCTTATCTTATCATAACTCTTTAATGAGGCGTTCTATTAGACTGAAGTTTTTGCAGTAGATGTAAAATACAAAGTTTTATAAATTAGTGAAAATTTCAATCTTACTTGAATCAACTCGAGCTGTTTCATATCGTGAAGCAAATTTTCTCATTGATTTGAGCAGAAACTGAACACTATCCTATGTATTTTGTTTATCGATCTTGGATTAGATGCATTCAAACTGCATGAAATTTTCAGTCCTATATCATGAAGTTTGCGTGAGATATTCAGTGAACAAGGGTCGAAAATAACTCTTTTGACAACTCAAAATTCTCTGTAGATCTTCATTCTATAGATTTAATTGTTTCTTTTTACTTGAAAGAGCATGTCATATAGCCGTACCTAACAGAATTCTTTGTTTTTAAATTCTCACTTTTTATGCGAAGAAAAAGGATGTCAAGTTCAATACCTCGAAAAAAGGGTCATCTATTTATAGAAGTGTTCTTTTGTATAATAATAAAAAACTTTGATATAAGAAAACATGGGCTGTAGCTTTACATGGATTTTCAAAAAACCATTGACAACAATGAAGTTTTTTTGAGAATTCTGGGATGCGCAATCAAAAAACTATAAACAGAGAAAAAACGAAAACGATTTGCCGTTTTTTTTGTGAAACACAATCTAAAAGGAGTATGAAGTATAGGGGTAGAAATTCGAACCCTCTTCACAGATGTGACAGACATCCTTAGCAATGTCTTGTCATAATATATGAACTACTTCCTTATTGCATTTATCGAGGATTAAGTAAAAAGATGATGAAGAAATATATCCGAAAATAGATAGAACAAAGCAATCTCCTCATGAATAGCAAGATCAACTTCATCGTATTTCACATTTTAATCTCACAGAAATTGCAATAAAAGCATTTTCTGAAAAAAACACATTCTTCAAGTAGAACGTGGCAGAAATCATCGAAAGTTTTGGCAAAAACGGAGTCCAAAATAAAAGGTCAAACCTCGAGCTATCTTTCCATGCATTTATGTTTCATTTTGGATTTGTCTGGTGAAAATTGACTTTTTTTTTTTGAAGGACTCTTAATATTCAATAAAGTGTCGGAAAACTTTTGCTGTATAACATCGACGTAGAGTATAATTAAATGCAATACTCAGAACTTATTTTAGTCTAAATGAGACTTTATACTAATGATCTTAAATTAATATTGATTGACGCTTATTTTGATTTCTCATGATATTTTAACAATACTTTTCTAATATAAAATTATTTATTTAATTATATTAATTGATCAAAATAAAAAAGCACAGTGAACTTTTTTTTTTATACATGACAATATAAAAAAAAAGAACAGCCATTCAATTAAGTTAAATATATAAATAAGTCTTAATAAACTTCATAATATGTTTACATGCTTGATTTTACTATTTCACAAAAAAAAAAAAATAAATAAATAAATAAATAAAACAATCGAATTACAAATGATTGTTATTAGTTTTAGATTTAATATCTTTATGTTGAATAATTTTTGTTGTTAATAAATGTTTCCGTTGTTCTTTAAAAGGTTTTTTTATTTGATTAATTTTAATACCAGTTTTACTTTTATGAAATTTAGCCGGTTTAACAAGATGTGGTTGTTGTTGTTTATCTTTAAGACTGCGTATACGACGTTCTGGATTAATAATATGATTAGATTGTTTATCATTATTATGTTTTAATGTTTGATTAGTTCTTGTTATTTTTAATAATGATAAAGTAGATATTTTTTTAAATTTTATATCATTATGTAAATGTTCATATTTATCAGTTGAATATTTATATGACAAAGCATTATTTATTGCAAAATCAAATGTTAGATAAACAGTTAAAACAGTAATAATAAAAAAAATAGATGCAAAAATTTTAATAATACGTTTCATTATTGTATATCTTACCATATCAATAGAGAAGCGTTAAGTTTGAATATACTAATAGTAATATAGATGAAGTTAATTAATGATTAATTATAATACTTTTCATATAGACATCTAGAAATATATATCATAGAGAATATAATGTTCATAATGAATTTTTTTTTGTTAGATAGTTCACCATTTGTGAATACTTACGGAAGGTCGTCTTAATGAAGATCTTAGAAGGAAAATACGAATTTTCGATATGTAAACAAATGATTTTATAAGAAACAGTTGATAGTAAGGAACATGTATAACAAAATAAACGATCTATCTAATAAAGAAGATTGAAATAGATAGAAGATTGAGTGTCTATTCTCGAGAGAATATTAAAGAAATATAATCGATTATGGGACTGATTTGGCTGTTTTTTTCCTAGCACAACATTAACGAAATAAATAATGTAGAGCCAGCTATGCTTAATATTGTTCTATTCTTCAGTATATGTCGATATATATTGATGCAGTCGTATTTCTTCCATTTTTATTCATATATAAGCTAACAGAAAAAAAGAAAGAAAGAAAGAAAAAAAAAGAGTACATGGCAAACTTGTTCTTTTTCTTTCTTCGTTCTTTACCACATACTACTCCACTATTCCTGATTTTACACAGCTTGTCAAACTTCTTCTCCTATCAACATACAGACAAGCATTCATATACTGTTGGTTGTCGTTGTTGCCTCTATCTGAAAGAATTCTTCTCACGTTAGCAACTGAATATATATACAAATTTTAATATATCTTTTTTTTATTTTGAAGATTTTCTATCTAATAAAAAAAAAGAAAACGAATGCGTCGAGAAGAAAATCTATCTTTTATAACATCAAAACGACCTACAACATGTCTTGGTCTTATACCAAAAAATCGTATTTATACAGATGAACAAATGCGTGGTGCATTAATATTTTCTGATATTGATTCTCGTCGACAAATAACTGTATCAGGTATGGGTGAATTTTCTTTACCACCTGATCGTATTAAATTAATTGTTATTATAACAAGTACAAAATCACATGCTAATGAAGCAAAAACAAGTGTTACACGTCGATTAAAATATGTTGAACAAACATTAAGAAATTTTGGTGTTAAAGAATCAGATAAATCTGTTGTACAATCTACAATACGTCGTGATACAATGTATGAAGTACGTGCTGAATTAACAGCTATATTTATTGATATACAACGTTATCAAAATTGTCATAATCAATTAGTTGAAAAACTTGATACACCTGTTGTACGTGTTCTTGAGCCAGTATTTTTTCATTCAACACTTCGTCTTGAAAATATTAAGTAAATAGAGTCTAATTATAATTATTATTTGTTGTATAGTTCTGTTTTTGTTTTTTTTTTGGTTTTTAGACGTCAAGCAAGTGTACAAGCAGTACGTAACGCTAAACATATAGCTGAAGATATAGCTCGAACAGTTGGTCTTCATGTTGCAAAAGCTGTTCATATTGTTGAAGAAAATTATCAAGAAAATGAAGGAATATTAGTTGTTACAGGACAACCAACATCATTTCAAAATTTAATTGATGCAAAAACAATTACTGTACATGTAACATTAAATATTACATTTGAACTTAAAGCAAAAGAACGACAACGTAAAAAAGATAATTCATAATAATGAATATATTTTATTGATAGTCGTATTAATCCGTCCATTGATTTTGTAATAGAAAATTTTGTCAAATAAAAAACGAAAAAAATTTTTTTTTTCTTTCTTCCTTTTTAAACTATTGTGTGAAAAAAAGAACGGTTATTTTTCATTGGATGATTACCAAAATTATGCAAAAAAGATTTTATTTTCAATTCTTCCTTTTTTTTTATGTTGTTTTCATTGCTAAAAAGAATTCAACAATTTTTCAGCATCTACAACATGTAAATTGTTCAGACTACATGAACCGCCAGAAATGATAACTGTCGTTTGAGCTCATATTGGGCATATAAGGACGTCATGATAGGATTATCAAAAGTTTAAAAGGGCCCGTAGCAATGAGTCTTTGCAGCTGAGTTATGATCGTTTGATCCATTTGTAGATTTAAACATCTTTAAGATATTCCTTTGTCGAGATATTGAATTTTTAAGTAAATTTGATTTCTGTGATCAGCGACTATTTTTAAGAAATTCAATGTCTCCATCACCAAGGAATATTCTTTTTAGCTGAAACTTTCCGGATCTTCTAAGGGTTACTAGACCTATCTATGGACAAAATTTTTCATCGAAATTCTTTTTTTTTTCAGTATATACTTAAAGCTAAATCGAAAATTCAGTAAATCGATCATAACTCGATTTCAAAGATACTTTTTTAGACTTTCTCAAGAATTTCTTGTCAGTTCCATATAAGCTCAAATGGTGAATATCGGTTTGAGGTGATTTCCTCATGAGATATAACGGCCTTACAAAAGTCCCTGAAGCCGTTTTTTTTTTTCTATGAAAAACTCAATTTGGAACGTTTAATCAGATTACAGAATTCGGAGACATTTCATGTAGTCTAAATAGAATTATATTTGCGTTCTCTAAATGCTTAAAAATAATACATGTGGTTTACTGGAAATCGGGTACCCATTTTTGTCTATATTTCAATTCATTTATATCGAAGAAAACACATATAAATAAGTTGAATATGTAGACAGTAGACTTTATTTTAGGTTAAGAAATCTTTAGCTTTTATTATTATATCAAATGAAATTGTCCGAAAATATCAACGAGAAGAGTTAACAATGAGTTTAGTCGATATGAATGATAAATAACACTTAATAACCTTTAATGCAAAACTAATTTGACTCTTTTCATCAAATCAAACGCTTTTAAAATCATATTGACACTACACATGACGATTGATATTGAAAAAAGAAAGAAAAAAAAACCATATCAAAATAGAGAAGATTGGAAAATGTTGAATTCATTTTACGACTAAAAAACTTATTTTGAACTAATTAAGGATGACCATGTAATTATCAAGAGAAAATTATATTTTGAATTTTGATCTATATTATTATATTTATTTGAATAATGTATTTAATCGATTGTTTAGTATGACGGAGAGAATATATTAGTAAATTTTATACAAAAAACAAATTATCAAAATAAAATCTTTGCTAATATTTTCTTTTTATTTGAATTTATCTTCGTAATAAAATTAAAATCAACGTTTATTTTTCTAAATCATACGATTAGTTTTTTTGTTTTACTCTCATCGAAAATAGCGTCTCTTTGTATTTTGTTGTTTTTCTTTTGATCATCGTCAAATAAAAGCCTTTATAGACATCATTCATGTAGACATCAGATAAACTCTTGATTGACTCATTTTATATGTGCGTGTCTTTATATACGACCTTTGTCCATCACTTCACACTCACTTTTTTGCCATTTTCGTCTTTAATTACTCTCACATATATATCATCAAAACACTCCATTATTTTCTTTTCTTCTCCTTTTCGTCACTATATCTTATACTTTGTTGGTCCGATTTCTTTGTATATGTGTATATACACATACATTCATATTCACTCGAGCCCTCATTCATTGTATAGATGCTTGCACTAAAATATCATTTTGACAATAGCCGCATTCTTATTACAATCAATATCCCATCATTTTCTTTTCTGGTTTCATGCATTACCATTTCGATTTATTCGTAGTACTCTATTCAAATTGAATATTGCATTACGAGTTGATTTTCATATGTGAACAACAATGCAAACAAGACAGACATCTCAACACATTCGTATCATCTGACACAACTCGTGCATTGATCTTAGTATCGTTTCATTTAATATGGACAACGTTCAATTTTTCGTTTTTTTTTATTATTATTAAACGTATAGCCGATAGTGTTTGAATAATTTAATCAACTCTTAATTACACATTTTTATATTAAAAAAATTATACAGGTAAGTCTATTGTATTATTTTGATCTAATCGAATCTTCCTTGACTTTTTCCTTTTTGTCAATACACATATTTAAAATCTTATTTTATGGTTCGTTTGAATAAAAATACAAGGTTACTTATATTTAGATCTATGAAAAAAGAAATCAGTTGGTGCAATGCATCTAGACGAAAGCTTTTTCTTCTTGACAGGGAACTATTTGTCTATCATCGTGTACAAGGCAATATATATTTTTTTTTTTCTTAAGGTTATAATAACCGAACAATTCATATAAGATATCAATCGTTAATTATTGATGATGTCAAATAAGGAGAACTGTTTTTATTGAGTCTAATTATATACTTATATTTTTTGTTGTCTCTTTTTCTTTTGTTTATCGTGTGACATAGTGATAACATCGTTCTTTAGTATCTTCTTAGTTTTGTGATACTTTTTTTCTTTAGCTTTCTTTTATAGTATTTAGAAACAAAAAAAAAAGAAGAAAAAATATTAAGGACACAGTATCGTTGTGTTTTGTTTGTCGCTCCCAACGAATCGAATATACCTCTTCTATGCATCGCACTTTCTTTTGCTAGTTTCTTTCTTCAATGATATGATGATGATGATGCATACCCAATGCGTTTTTTATATTATTTATGTATCACAAAAATTTTCTATTTGTCTTTGTTAGATACTTTCTTTATAAAGATAAACAACAACGACATGTATAACATTGTAAAATTCAAGGTATTGAATTGCTGACAGCTATTGTTTTTTTTCTCCTATATATTTTCAAGTTATTCTTTATTTTTTTTTTGTATTAAACGAATATTGTGCATTACATATCTATCATGACAGCGTTTGCTGTATTTCACTTGAAATGTGATGTATCATAAAAGTAATTCTTATTGTTGACATAAACGATTTTCAATTATATGAGGCTAAGCGATGAGGGAATTGAATTAACTATATTTTATTTTCTCTTCTCAAGCAATATTCTCTTGCTTCCTACATATATATATATATATGTATACAAGCCTAGATATGCATTTTGTATTTTCTTTTCTTATTAAACCTTCAAGCGATTATTGAGTATGTACCAAGTCTGAATAACAGTCAAATAAATCAAAATTCGAACTTAAAAGCATCGAATAAAATCGTTTGAATTGAGAAAAAGACATAAGTAAAAAAGAAGATACTGTGTAAATTAATATAACAACTGTTACTCAAAATTTTTTTTTCTCTTTCATTTCTTCTTATTCTATAATATAGGTTGATGATGGGTTCTTGCACATCAACCACAAAACATCGACAAAAAGATCAACAACAATTGCATAAACGAATTGCATTAAAAAATTCAATTGCTCTTGACAATAAAGAAAATTCATCATTATTATTGCCTCAATATCCCAATCAACAATCTCAACGTCCTCATTCTTTATTATCTAATTTTGATATTCAATCACCTTCTTTACAAGAATCAACTTATCATCATTCACTTAATACAAACAGTTTAATACAATTATATTCACCTAATATGAATAATAATAATAATTCTAATAGAAATAGTTGGATATCATCATCATCTTTTACATCACATATTCCAACACGTATTCCAATATCAACAACTCGATTACCTATTCATCAATCACAATCATCATTAATAAATTCTGTACCATTTACTAATGTAACTACTACATTTGGTACTTCTAATGGGACAGGTAATGCATTATTTTTTACTTCAATTCTTGTTGGAATAAATGTATGACTCATATATAGAAAAAAAAATTAATTTTGCATTTTGTCATCGACAGCAGCCACGAATAACATTTTTTTTTCTCTTTCCTTTTGTCTTCTTCCATGCTGGTTTTTTTTTTCTGTTGGTTCCTTCTTCCATTCTTTTTTTATTGCTAGACGTCTTCATCGAAGAACGATGACATTAGTAAAAAAAAAACAAGAATGCACATGAAGGTTAACGTTGATCAAGCGACATTTTCTTTAACTTTTTTTTCTTCTTGTTAATGAATTTTATTCTAACATTTATTGTTCAACAATTGTTTGTATAATTATTATTCTGTTAATTTTTTTTTTGAAGGTTTCTCTCAATCAATGTCAACAACAAATCGTGCACCACATGCATCATCTATACAAAATAGCACACACCCTCGTTTTGGTTTTATACCTCGACCAACAGCACCCGGTTTACAACAAACACAAACATCATCATCATCATGTGTAGTTCGTAGTCGTTCAATTAGTCCATCATCATCATCATCGATTAGTGCTAATTCTTCATCGACAACTAGTTCTCAACGTTTAACAAAAACTCAAACAATACCAAAACCAATATCAAATCGATCTATTACTTCTTCTTCGAATACTAATCATGTATTAAAATCTAAAACAGTTCCTTCTTCTCACAATAATAATAATAATAATAATAAAGATTCATCAAAATTAACAATAACTAATCGTTTTCATTCAAATATACCTTCACAAGTTTCAAATTCATCTGTATCTATTAGTCCTCCTCATATTCAATCTACAAAACCAAATGTTAATGTTATTCGTGATCGATATAAAACTCAAAAACGTATGAATTTTTATACTCGACATAGTTCAATACCAAATTCACTTAAATCTCCATCAGTAATTAAAGAAGAAAAAAATGAACTATCATCATCATCAACCGATGAACATATAACAAATATTCCAAATAATAATCAAGTAAAAATAAAATTATCTATATTTTCTGTCAATAGCCAAAAAAAAGAAATACTCAATATATATATTGTTTTTTCCTTTTTTTTTATTAAAATAGAATGATGATTTAAAAACAGAATCATCTCATCAAATATCTTCTTCACATGGTGATTCTGCTTATGCAAGTATAATATTACCTTTAAATCGTTTATCATCTACACAACATTCTCAAATTAATCGACAACGACAACATCGTCCTAGTACATCATCATCATCTACACATGTATCTGACATATTAAATAATGATTCATTTCTTGATGATGATAATTGTAGTCTAAAATCAGATGATTTAATATGTGATTATGATGATACATTAACACTTGAATCTGTTAGTAAAAAGTAAGATAAAGATATATTTAACAAAAAAAAAAGAAATTTTTCAATAAATCAATTTAAATAATATTATTCTATTTTAAGTGATCAAACAGATTCATTATCATCTACATCATTATCTATTGAAACAAGTAAAACACCTATTATGATAACAGCAACTACGATAATAAAACCAAATATTCCATTATTTCAAACTGTATCAAAAGAAAATCGTTCTTCATCTATAGTGAAATGTTCAACAACTGATAAAATAAATGCTAATCTTAGAGAATCACTTGATGAATTAACTGAATTGAGTAATCGAATGGACAATATTATTGATAGTGAACATAATCGGTAAGATAAATAAATGTTCTTTCTAATATCAATATCAAACTCAAAGGTATTCAGATAAAAATTAAAATAAGATGAAAACAACATTTCCTATGAGGAAACTATCTCAAGTGATTTAGAGCTGTTGAATCTATGTTTTTCCCTTAAGTACGATCCAGTGAGACTAGAATAAGTGATTTATCGAATAGTCAAAGTAGAGAATTTCGATCTGCAAATTTCTCTAAATACAGATCTTATGGACCATATAGCAATCTAAACATCACAATCAAAATGAAAAAAGAAGTGTTCATTTTACTTGTAAAATTTAGATTGCTTATAAGACTTACATAAGAAAATTTTCTTGTTGAAAAATGATCTCTGATGAGTTATTCAATTCTATTCATTTTTGTATATGCAAACAATATCTCATTGTTCTTTCATTCTACAATTTGAGTACTCTAAATCGTTATGAGATGTCATTCTCGATTTGTTTAATATGTAATTGAATATCTTCTAGTTTAATCCTGACATAAGTTTGTGTAATTTTTTTTTTTTTGGATATTGTAGAAGATTATTAACACGCTCATTAACATTAAAACCACCAACTCCGTTACCACCGCGTGAGGATGCTGAACAAATAATAATGGATATTGAATCTTATCGACAAGTAATGAAAGATGTTACGGTTGTTAAAACAATTCTTCATCAACTTGATCGATTATTGAAACATTCAGATGGTACTAATATGACTGTGAGTGTTTTTTCTTTTGTTCTCAATTAAAAAATTAAAGAATTTTTTTTTATTCTAGGATTCAATGATTGGTTCATTTCATGAATCTATGATCGGTCCAAGACATTATTCAATAAGTGGTGGTGAAGGTAATGTTCGAAATATAATTGATGAAAATTCTTCTTATGATGATTTAGTTAAAGTAAGAAAATTAATATTTATATTTTTGTATAAAAAGAAACAAAAAAAACAAAAATATCTTTTTGTTTTTAAGGAAGTTACAATATTACGTAAAGAAAGAGAACAAGATAAACAAACAATTAAATTATTACAAGATCAAATGGTTGGTTTATTTGCTTTTTTATAAACTTTTTCATTTTTGCTTTGCTTTTAGTATAAATATTCCAGTCAAACTAACATTTAATAATCAAACATCCTAATATTAATTTTTATTGTAAAATATTTGTTGTCAGTATTTTTATTTTTTGAATTTCTAAAAATAAAAGAAAAATCAGATTCTATTTTTTTGTGTCTTGCTTAATTTATCTATCAACTTAAGAAGATATATTCAAGTGTTGAACACCATTCGACTTTGTATTAAGGCTACGAGCAGATCTTGGTGAGACTAAGAAAAGCTTACAAGAATTCGAGTTCACTGGTTCACTGTTGAAGAGTTATGGTCATTTTGTTGAATTGATTCGATTTGGCAATGGGATATCCACGAGCTAAGAGTTTTGGCTTATGAAGCAACTCTTGAATTAAATACAAAATTCTCAATAGATACCGTATTTCTGTCTGTTCAATAGAGATATGTAATGTTATTTCAGTTCTATCGGATTTATTATTAATGAACACTGAACATCTTAACTTCTTCGAAATGAAAGGTCACGCACAAGGCGTAATAAAAGATTATAAGGTTTCCGAAAACACAGCGAGTCTTTTTTTTTATTTTAGCACCTAAAAACTGAGGTTTTTAGTAAGTACCATTTTTTAAATTAAAATATCTTTATGTTTCTCGTAGCAAAAAAACAAAGCTTGGTTTTCTGCTACTTACAATGGAAGTGTTTGTATTGTAAGTGAAAAAGATTAGACATATGCGAGTCAAAATAAAGTTCTCATTGCTAAACTAACAAGTTTAAAATATTAACTGCTATTGATGTGTGCCAACTGGGATATTCAAATTTTAAGGTAATTACAGTCTATATATGACGGCTATCATTAAAAATTTTCAGCAGAATTTTTCTATCGTTTTTGTTGATTGTTGAATAGAGCTCATTGAGTTACATTAGAAAATAATTATATGTTTCATATTTTAAAAAATCTTATAGGATAGAAGTCTAAATTACTATTATTTACAAATATGAAGGAGGAAATAGAACAAAAATTCTGACCTTCGTAACCTTATTTTTAAAATATGAAACATATATTTTCTAATGTAACTCAATGAGTTCTATCTAACGATCAAGGAAAACAAAAAAGAAAAAATTCTGCTGAAATTTTTAATGATGATCATCATACATAGACTGTAATTTACCTTAAAATTTGAATAACTCGGTTGGCACATATCGATAGCAGCTAATATTTTAAACTTGTTAGTCTGATGGTGAAAATTTTATTTTGACCTGAATATGTCTAGTCTTTTTTCACTCACAATACAAACATTTCTATTGCTAGTTGCTAAAAACATCTATTTGAATATCAGAAAAGTTTTCAAAGTTCTCTTGATTTTCTTCGTAAATGTTAGAAAAAAATCTAGTTTGGAATAAAAGATCATGATCTTTAGCTTTTTTAATATAGTCTGTTTTTTTTGCGTACGTAATTTGTCATACTCTAAAAGTAATAGACAATTATGATTTGAAAATAGGAATATGATTCGAGTTTTGAATTAAATATTTCTTAAATCCAATCGGTTTAAAAGACAACTGCTATTGTTATTTTCAACCTTCTTTTTCTATAGATTATGTTTTTTGTTTAAAAAAGTTGTTTGATGTCATTGATCATATGAAATGAGTTTTTTTGTTCGTCAGCATTGCAAACCGAACGATGTTTTAGAAATATATTTAACTCAATAACCCATGGAATGATTTTATTAAACGGAAATTACAATGATAGATTAAGAGAACAAGTTCAAAAAAAAAGGATCATTCTATATACAAAAAAAAAACACGTCAATACTACGTCGAAGAGTATTTATTGATCATAAATATCTCTTATTTAGGTTCGCTTGATGTTTCTTTATTAAAACCTTGAAAAACTATGAACTATTGATAATGTAGAAGAAGAATAAAGGTAAAAGAAAAATTAGCTTGTTTCTCTTTTATTGATTTAATCGATAAATAAATCTCCTTTTTTTTTCCTACTGTTATATTTCAAAAGTGAACTTATTTTCTGAAAAGAAAACAAGAACAAGACATTGTTATTAACCTTTAATGCGTTATTCTAATCGATCGTCGTTTTTTCTCTTTTAACTCCTTTAGGTGACAAGTAAAAACTTTTCCTCTTTTTTTTTTTTTTTTTGTTCAACTTTCACACGTCTCCGTCTCTTATTCTAACACAATACAACACTTACTCCAATTACCGGTAAGTATGCAATGATTTTTCAACCATTTTTTTTTCTCACTCTTTGCTGCTTCTTCTTTTTTTTTCTCTTCATTTCCGTCAACACCGGTAAACATTCAATTGAATATTCCGGCTCAATCACGATCGACATCAGTCTATTCTTGTTCTTTTTTTGTTGTTAACAGTATTTAGTTGACAATAATGGGTAATACAACATCAGAAGTAGCATCGGGTGTTAAAGCTCAGATAAATACAGGTGGTCACGGTCCTGAACTTTATCGATTTGTTGATCTTAAAGTAAATTAAATTTCTCGATAATTTTTTTGTAACAAAAAGAAATATTTGTAGGGAGGTGGTGAATTTATTGATGTTATGCGTGTAGCTAATCGAACAAAAGATTATACACAAATTGATGCACTTATTCGTGAACATATTCCGAGATTTCTTTATAATAATGGTGAAGGAAAATTGGTAAAAGATTTAAAAAGAAAAAAAAAACAGAGAAATTTTTATTCTAATTTGTTTTATAGGTTACAATAAGTGAAATTGTTAAACGACGAAATAATACATATTCTAAATTAAAAAGTATTGTTCCAACTGCTAAAACATTTGATGACGAACAAATAAATAGTTATATTTATTAATCATATAAAATCAAAATGAAAAAAAAAAAATTTCTTTTCTAAAAAAATTTAGATGAAGAAACAAAACGTGTTTGTTGGGATCTTGATTTACGTGGTGGTGTTGGTGAACATATACTTCATATTTGTTTTCTTTCATCAAGTCCTGTTCATTCAGGTTTAGCAAAACGACTTCTAAAATATTATCCAAGATTAATTGATGATTTATATATGGGTGATGAATATTATGGTTAGTTATTCAATTGATTATTGAAGATTTTTTTTTTTATTTTTTCGAAAATTTTCAGGTGAAAATGTTCTTCATATTGCAATTGTCAATGAAGAACCAGCAACAGTTAAATTCTTACTTGATGCTGGTGTTGATTTTACACAAAGATGTTGTGGAAAATTTTTTTGTCCAGAAGATCAAAAATCAAGCCGGTAAAGATACAAATGGTGATGTTTTTTCAAACTTTTTTTTTGTATTAGAGTGGATAATGTAACAAAAGAATGTCCTGATGTAAGTGTTGCAACAAATTATGGAGGTTATTGTTATTTTGGTGAATATCCACTATCATTTGCGGCTGTTTTACAACAAGAAGAATCAGTAAGATTATTAGTTGCTAAAGGTGCTAATACAAATTGTCAAGATTCAAATGGAAATACTGCTTTACATATGTGTGTTATTTATAATCGGATAGTAAGCTTTTATTTTTTATTAAAACTCCTCTCTCTCTCTCTCTTAAAATCAATTTTGGATCATGAACATTCTGATCATATGAAACTTTCAGTTCGGTATTATGAGATTTTCATTATAAAAAATAGCTAAGTGAATAATTCAACATGCTCGTTCAAACATAGAGAAATGCTGATCCTATTGATTTTAAGAAGAAATTTAATTAATTATTTGCTTTTTTATTTTTTGTTGAATAGAGTATGGTAGATTTACTTTATGAATTAGGTGGATCTTTAGATATAAAAAATCGACAATGTTTAACACCTTTAACACTTGCAGCTGTTAAAGCACATAAAGAAGTAAGAAAATATTAGGTTGTTGTTTTTTTAACAAATATTAAAAATTCAATTAGATATTTGATCATATTTTACAAAAAACTCGTATAATCTATTGGCAATATGGAAATGTAACATGTGCTGGTTATCCATTAGATGATATTGATACAATTGGAAAAGATGGTTCTTTAAATGATACAAGTGCATTGAATATTATTGTTCGTGGAGTAAGTTTTAAATATTTAGAAATAATTTTACATCAGTCAATATATATATTTTTTTGAGGGGGGAGGGGAATAGTTCGCAAAAGGTAAAAACAACATTTTGATAAATTCTATAGAATGTATAAAATCTTCAGGAGAGAATTACTTCATATATAAATATTTTATAATGCAATTAAGTCTATTTAAAATCCTTTTTTTTTATAGGAATCTGCTGGTCATTTAGATATGACGGATGGTTTGATTGTACAATTATTAAATGAAAAATGGCGTACATTTATTAAATTCAAGTAAATTCGTTTTCTTTTTTCTTTCAAAAAAATTAATCTATTCTCCTATAGATTCTTTCAACGTATGGCTATGTTTAGTTTTTATTTTGGTATATGTTTATTTGGATTAATTATTCGTGGTTATTATCGTGTACCATCAACATGTATTATAAAAGAAATAATTGATAAAGATGAAAATACAGTTAAATCAATAATAGCTAATCGAATTGAATGTAAATGTCATTATATAAATTTTCTATGGTATAAACCATATATTGATGATGAAAATCAAACTATAATGAATATTAGTTTACGAATAAATTATGATGATAATGATGAAAATAAAAAACTAAGATTTAAACCAATGGTTTTAGTAAGAAAAATGAAAAAGCAAGAAATAGTTGTTGTTTTTTTTTGTTTTGTAGCTTCTAAATATTTTTGATGGTTTAAGTGTTATTGGTGCATTTATCTATATAATGTTTACAATACAAGAATTTTCTTATCAAAATTTTAAATTAGATTCATTTATATATGTTAATGATCCAACAAGAGTATTATTTCTTTTTTCTTGTTTATTAACATTAGCAATGTTACCAGCTCGTTTTACTTGTTCAATTATTGTTGATGATGTTCTTTGTGTATTTGCAACACTTACTCGAGCACCTTATTTTTTCTTTTTTTGTCGGTAAGATATAAAAAAGAAATTCTTTTTTTATTAATGATAGTTAATTGTTTTTTTTTTAA